TCGAAAGGAATCGTCTAGTGGGTTTGGAGCATGTTTAAATTCTTTTCCAACCTTCTTTAGTGAAACAACATTGCGTGTGCTCGAAGTGGTGCTAGAAGAAGCATTAAATTTTAACTAAAGGCTGACTAAAAGTAAATTGATACGCACAAAAAGACCTGTAATTCGTGATTCAATAAGTTTAATGGTTGATTTACAGTACTTTTATTAAAACTTCAAAAGTTGTTCGAACGAAATCTCGAACCTTCCTCTTGATGGAGCCCATCAGCGCCCGCACGGTGGAAACGGACACGGAATCAGCACATTTCTTCCAGTTTGCCCGCATTTGCTGGATGTCTTTGACTGCCCCGCCACTTCGTCGAAGTCGCTGCTTTGAAAATGCCCAGAATTTTACGATTGGTTGAAATTCCGGGCAATTCGGAGGATTCATTGGCATGGGGAAAAATCGATCTTGTTGGCAGCATACCACTCCAGAACCACCTTGGAGTAGTGGCAGCTGGCCAAATCGGGCCAAAAGATAAAAGATGTCCCTATGCAATACACGCTTTTTCAGGCATTCTTCGATGTAAACTTGGGATGTCATCGTCGAGGATGTGACGAATGGTTCCGTTTTCAGGTCACAACTGCAAATCGCTTGCCAAATCATGACCTTCTTCGTGAACTTGTCGGCAAACACGAACTTGAATCTTCCTGGCATATCCCCACCTTCAGTCGTGATGTAAAACTTTTGACCGGGAAGTTGCTTAAAATTACGTTTGACGTATGGTTCGTCATCGATCAAAATGCAGCCCTTGTGTTTCGTCAAAGCACAGTCGTACAAAAGCCTTGCACGCTGTTTGGCCAAGGAATTTTACTTCATTCGGATTGTTCCGGATGTTTACTGGCTTTGTACAACTTGTATTCTTCACTGGCAAGGATGTTCCGCACCGTTTGAAAGTTGGCGTTGTACCTTCTGGCCACATCTCGGATCGAAAGACCGGGGTTGGCATTAACGCACCTCAACACCTTGCTGCGCAGCTGACGATCCTTGGTTCCAATTTTTTCGTAGATCCGCTGATTCCTTTCCACACTCAGTGTTTCCTTGTAGGTTTTGAGCAGTCGACAAACTGTTGTTTTCGGCATCTTCAACACTTTAGCCAGCTTGGAACCGAACCCCTCCGGTTTTTGCAGGTGTTTGTGCACAATATTTTTATTTCTTTCGGGTTCCATTTGACGTTATTTCTGAAGGCGATCGACTACTTTGATCAAACTTGCATTAGTTGTTCTCTAAAACCATTGTCAAATATTTTCGATTCCCAACACTAGAGGCGTGCTAGCGGCGCGCGAGGGCGTACCAATTTACTTTTAATCAGTCTTTAGATACCACCAAATAATTATCACCAATAGTAATTAATTATAATCACTGCATAAACGCAAGGGGTGAGACAGGTTTACTCTGAGTTGCATTTTTGCAGCGAGTAACTCGTGAGTAACTCAATGTACCTCAATATTTTCTCTGCCTGCTCCGTTTACTCTTTTTAAGCATATACGTCTCATATTAAACGTCAGTTTTGTTAGTAAATAAAGTAATCCCAAGTGTATTCTGAGCCTTTCAAATAACTGGAATATTATGGAAGAACCTGTGCCGGTGCCTGGTTACTACAAATAACAACCTACACTTTCAACCAGCTTTCAGGGTTGTGCTTCCTCCTCAGCAACCAGTCCCAGTCGTCACTCCGAAAGGATCATCTCTGATCAAAAAAGTTCTCCAATATTCGTCTAAACATCTGAAATTCCACCTATAATGCAGCGATCCCGTCATCTTACATTTCTCCAGTCGTAACAGCAGTCCTATTGGAAGAGGCATCACCAGTCAATGTGGTAATAACTAACTCCGATCCTCCGATCCCCTTTCGACAAACATTCCCGTTGGCACAATGGCAAACATAGAGTAGTTTTTTTTTTATTATTATAGTCACTTTAACACTCTTGGGTCATTCGTGACTTGTCCGGGGGTGAGATTTGAACTCGTGACTTTGGCGTGAGAGGTATGGATGTTAACCACTACGCCGGGGTCGCCCCCCAACATAGAGTAGTGAGTAATGTTTCAACCATGGTCCCTTCAACGGCACCCGCCGCCACAGTTTTCGGTATAGAAAATATCTCCCGGTGGGGCAACAACCAAGTCCAGCTGCGAAGGCACCGGTACAAACCATTACCCCGTGGAATTTCAGCCAGAGCATCAGTGCAGCCGCTGCCACTGCCGAAGCCGAAGAGGAGGATGACGATGAAGTAGAGCTACAACTGTTTCCGGTGAGTGCGATCCTCTTTTAAACTTCAAACCCATTAACGATCTACCGGACGAAACCGAAGTGAAAACCCGTCAGGAAGACGAGGCACAAATCAAGCTGACAGATTCTCTTCGTCGACTTTCTCCTGGAGACTTCGGTCGACGGCCGCAGCAAAATCTCGGTGGTGTATAGTAAAAACGGAACCGAATCACGACCATCCGGAAAGCCCAGCACCAAAAGCAAGGATGGATGTCCCCCGTCAGCAGAACGGCGCCGTGGTAATTCAGAGGTCGGTTTACAGTTCCATCCAACGGCAGTTTGTCAAGCGATGGGACGGGATTGCTACGACGAGTATCGATTTTGAGTATTTGGCAGATCGGGGTTTTCTACCACATCAACCAGATAAGTATTCGACCGTCGTAAGAGTAAGGTTGCAACAGGTTCCTTCCACGTTCACGGTTGGTAAGGGTCGAACGAAGGTTATTAAACTGAGATGATTTAAGTGTCTCCGAGTTCCGCTTTTATTGTTGTTTTATTTGACAGCAGCTTTTCGGCTTCGCATGAAGGTGCACCTTCAAATTTTGCTGTGATGCGGAAAGTGAGAAAGCAGATGACAGCGATCTTGCTCACTGAGCAATGTGAGTTACTCGAGGTGCCTCAAAAGCAACTCTGAAATTTCTCATAATTACGAGCTGTCTTGCCCCTTGCATAAACGCATAGAATCCACTAAAACGCTGGCCAGACTGGAGAGTTATAACATGTTATAACGGTTGTCAAATAATTGCAACACAGAAAGCACCATCAAGATAGCGCTATAACATGTTATAACTCTGTAGTCTGAACGTACTATAAGAAAAAGTTCAACGGTAGTCCGCAAAACTCCAGCTATGTTTTGCGAGTTCAGCGTTCTCGGAACCCAAAAAAAAAAACTCACATTGTTGCACTTCCATGACGGCGGTTAGGGCAAAACTTGGCAATGCACTTCATATTCAATAAATGTTACTCGAAATTTAATGAAAAATAGTTCCCCAGCTCACTGAGAATTCAAACAACGTAAACAAACAAATTCATAGCATAGACAACGATAAAGTCGCGCATAAGCTGAAACATTTTGATCCGCGACAAGTGTTAGCAGCTTTTGTAAACAAAACAAATAACGTTGTCAAATCGTCTGATAATATTTCCGCGAATCTCTGTATGTAGGATTACTAATTAATTGTACACGCATTTAGATGAGAAAAAGCAGAATTCGGTTTTTGAGACCAGTGATTTTTTTTAAATGTATTTTTAATAAATAGCTGACAAAATTTCAAGTAACTTCCATTTGCTAATTTTGACTGTGCGATGCTTGCTTCAAAAGTTATGATTTTTGTTAAGTTGAATTTAAATTTTCCGGGAACATCGCCACACTGATTTTTTTAAATTTTTGTTTCAATCGGAGACCCTTCGGCTCAAAGCAGTTCTCAAATACTTAGTCAACCCAAATTCGTTTAGGTAAATTTTTATTGTATTTTGTTTCAATCGGAGTCGGAATCGGAGTCGGTTATTTTGAAATCAAAGTAGTCGTAGCCGAAGTTGGAGTCGGTCGATTTAGATCCAACTCCACAGCCCTGATAATAATAATAATAATCATCGTGAAATTTTACCCGACGTTCAAAAGTTTACCTGGTCGTAGTAATGACCACCGGCTCCTCAGGTAAGACTCACCTTACATTCATCGTCCACCATCCACCACGGCAAACGAAAACGAAACGCTACATTTATTAGCACCGGAAACGATCCATTTTCATTTCGCTACGCGATTGCCGGTTCGTCCTGCACGGCCGGTGGTTGTGGTGTGGAATACCGAGGACTCAACAAGGAAAACTCAACTAGTGTAAATGAAACTTTGCTTTTCTTTCGGAGGAGGAGGAGAAGCAGGATTAGATGAAGGTAACACTACCTGATTTGGTTCGCGTGCTTAAATCAGAGCACCTAGCAATGCAACCGTTGACGTTGCTGCTTTTACTCTGCCAGGTTCGCTCGGTGCACCACGGGCGGTGTGTGGCACTGAGTTGGCGTGTTTCTCCTGTATAAATTAACAGATTATACGACTTGTATGGCGTATGTGTGTTTTAACACTTAACCACCACCTTCGGTGTGGAATTGTTTGATTTACCCCAACAGCAGTTAAGTTAACCCAATTAGATTGCAGGTGACTGATAGGCAACTTTGTTGTATGCAAAACTTTTGTGGCATTTGCGTATCCTTTTCTTGATAACATCATTTGAAATGAAAATTTGGCTGGAGGCATTGGAACATATTTGATTTACCTAATTTTGGAGGAGGGTAATGGATCAATGAAAATGCTGAGGTTTTGACAGAACTATGCTGACCATTTAAATTGATCAATTGATTGATCTTGCCTAGAGGGATATCCTTGGCATCACATCAGCAGGGAAAATCTAAGAAATTTTTGGAAATTTTAAGTTTCTAACTACAGACTATAAATAATAATTCAATGTTTTCTATAAAACATTGTAAGACTTCTGATAATGCTTTATCACATGATGAATCCAACAACCAGTACATGTCGATTTGTTCCAGTGTAGGCACGGTTGCTCATTTCGAAAAGCAAAGCTGTTTTTTTTGCGATGGCTCGTTTGTGGGAAATCCTAACGCCACGCTGTGTATCAAAGTGACTGAATCTTACAATAATATTATCGTTTCACCTGTCCCCTCTCTTACTTCTAGGGTGGCATCGATGCCGAACACAGGCGTCGAGGAGGAGTACTATCGATTGAGGCATTTTTCGATCACCGGTAAAGGAGTGATAAACCGGGGTGATTCGCTCAAGAGTCGCCGCAGCAAATCGAACAACAGCGTCGCCAGTTCCAATTCCAGGTGAGTGCACCCTCGACAATCCGTATCAGGCATGGCCCTGGTGTCAGGAAAACAATCAACAAAATACTATATACGTATTTTGTTTGATGTTGTGAATGGACAACAGGTTGACATATAGGGCCATATACTAATTGAAATACCTTCCAGAATGTTTGTAGATGAATGAAGATGTTTTGAAGAATACTTTCGGCAAATGCAAGGATTTCCAGAATCTTAAATTTATTAGCAAAAAATTTCTTCCAAATCAAATGGACCCTCGCTAATCTGAACGACACTTCATTCATATTAACGGGGTTCATTAGAAAATTGAATTTATAGTAACCCTATGAGCATAAGAACATTGTTTTTCTGGCAACTTTATTTGCTATTCTGTTTTGATTCTGCGTTCCGTTTCACAATATCAAATTGAAAAGTGTTCGGATCAAAATCGGTCATATTACCGGGGATTCACGGTAGATTCAGTAGGGATGTGCACGATATTTTAAACTCACTATTTCTCAATCAGAATTTGAAAGATTAAGGAGGTTTAATCTGGGTACTGCGGAGTCGATCGTTTTTATTTTGCAATGTGTTTCATGCATCATCCTTGCCACTACTCTCCAGCATGTGTTTTCTTTTCACACCGACGCATTGAGACCATTGTCGCGTGTGTTACTGTATTAGAAGCAAACCGCAGGATTCACAGAAGAATGCGCAGACCCTCCAGTGTTCGGAGTACAGAGCAAAAAATTAATTTTATTATTACATCCAAGAGGATGCACTTCAATAATGTCGAAAATTTCATGGCCACGAAAATAAACAAATGCAGTAAAAGCACGTAATGTCAGTTCATGCACTGTATTAATAAAAAAATTTCTCTTTTTTGGTAAGTAATATTACACCATATTTTTGATACGATTGAAGTGCATCCACTCTGATGTGATATCAACATCAATTTTTTGCAGTGTACATCTGATCACCAACACCATCATAGAACGATTCCGATCTTTAACCCAATGATGATAGGCAAAAATAACGATTGAAAGGACAAATAAAGTCATTTTGCCTGAAATGGACGGGAGAAGCACAGCATTTGGAGAGTTCGGCAGAGAAATCCATCTGTGGCAGTTTAGGCAACAAACCATACAAATACGACCTCAGATCATGCTGTATCCCGAAATCCAGGAGAAGTACCAACACCTCCTCGCTGAGCTACTGATTGAGTCAAACATCCTCTGAAGTGTAGAGAAAACGACCGTATGAACCGATAGCCATCATGACGTGACATGCATGGACTAATTATGGAAGCTACGTACACAGCAAAAAAATAATTTTGATATCACATCAAAGTGGATGCACTACAATCATGTCGAAAATTTCATGTAATTTTTATGACCACATAAATAAACAAATGCAGTAAAAGCAGCGTAATGTCAGTTCATGCATTGTATTAATGATAATTTTGTCCTTTTTAGCAAGTAATATTACACCATATTTTCGACATGATTGTAGTGCATCCACTTTGACGTGATATCAAAATTATTTTTTTGCTGTGTACTCGAAGACGTCGCTGTTCACTGCGATGAAGATATTCTCCAACATACCACCACCAGACAGACTTCTACAGTCTCAAGAAGATCAGCGTGCACAGATACTCCTTGAGACGCTTACGTCTCGAAATAGACTCCAGACATCTTCGGAAATATTATAAAGTTGGTCTGCCGGACAGCAAAGCTATGGTGTTGTATAGGTGGGTATAATTAGATCGGAGGATGCAGCATGACCCCAATATAAGCAGAAGTAGTTACAGCGAATATTGAAGGCCTCAGCGCGATAGGTTACATTCGAAAGCTGATCGATGTGGAGGTTTAAGCAAAATGTACACGAGTTTAGTACACACTTAATCACGGGTTCCCTGTTCGATAATTCGGAAGGGAAGTAAAGCCGTTGGTCCCCGGTTCACGAGTTGATGGGTCGATAGGTAGGGTCCAGATGTGGGAGCTGCCTCCCTGGCGTCGGTAGCATTGGTGCTCAGCACGGTAAACAAGCCAAGGAAAAAAAAATCTGGAAGCCAACGCAGGAGTGCAGAAACTGCCACGGAATTGGGCAGTTTATATACTCCTGCATAGACTTTCAGATGTTTCAATGATTTTGAAGGAAAAACTTTCACTAACATTGCCTTTTAGCTTCAGGCATGTACATGCAATCCGGCACACCAAGAGATCCACCAACCAACCGGCTGAACCACCAGAAAGTGCTAAACGTGAAACTTAGTTCCCAAATAAAAATCATTTTAATCTTACCCTTAGTATGAAACTTTAAGGAATTCACTGACTTATTCATCAAATACTATAATAAAAATACTGAAAAACTCAGCAATAAAATGTAAACAAATACATTACTGAAAAAGTCAGCAATTCTGTTACAGAGTTAAACGGTAATTTTTGACAGTTGAGAGATTCTGCAATTTACGGAGTTTTCAGTAAAAGTAAAAACTACTGGGTTGATTACTGAAAACTCCTGACTGCAACTGAGAAGAAATACGCACAAAATCAACGCGATGCCCTCGGGGCGGTTTGGGTGGTGTAGCCTTTCTCCTACTTTTTGCTTGGGAGCCAATTCACTTTACGTACGGATGCACTTATACTAAACCGATCACGCGAGGAATCCAAGAGGGCACTAACTCGAGCTGATGGTTGGGCATTGAGCCCTTACAGCTACAACGTAGAATATGTACGAGGGGCTGACCAAATAGCTGAATCTCCCTCACGCTTATATAACGGAAACGACGATTCAAGTCCTTGGGAGATTGCCTCACTGGAAGCTAATGCGGCCGTATTTGTGACGGACAGCGAAATTCAAAGAGCTACTTTACAAGACCAATGCCTTCAAGACGTCATGAATGCACTAAATATACGGGAATGGCCACGAAAATTGCGGAAATACCAGGTCCTTGAAAATTATTTAAGCACTAAGGATGACATGCTGGTGAAACCCGGATCCGTGGTGATACCGGAGGCATTACGCAAATGAACATTAGAAGTAGCCCACATTGGACACCCTTCAACAGCTAAGCTTAAAAGCATTCTGAGGCAACGTGTTTGGTGGCCTGGAATGCCAAAGGACGCAGAGGAATGCGCTACTTGTGCAGTCAATGGGATACCTGAAAACCCCACCCCAATGTAACGCATCTTTGCTCCAACGGCTGCATGGGAAACAATTGCGTTGGACTGGACGTAGTCCAGCCGTGCATCACATTTAGTAGAATTTCCATCCTCGTAATGGAGGATGTATTCGAACGGGAAGGCCTACCGAAATTCATAAACACGGATAACGGCCCCCCTTTCAATGGTGAGGAGCACAAACGGTATTGTGCAGAACGCAGCATCACTCCCATTTTATCGACCCCCTTATTTCCACAACAGAATGGACTTGTGGAAAGCTACATGAAGCTTATCAACAAGGCTATGGTAAGTGCTTCGATAAACAAAACAAATGAGGGGCTGTCCATAAACTACGTAGACAGTTTAGAGAGGGGGGGTTTCAATTATCCACGGCCCATACAAAGTTATTTTTTTGTATGGACAATTGTCTACGCAGGGGGAGGGGAGGTCAAGAATAAAAAAAACTGTATACGTAGTTAATGAACAGCCCCCTACGTGATAGAGTTACGTGAAGCAATCCATGCTCACAATGCACAAAGCTAGCTCCGGAGGAAGTCATGTCAGGTAGGAAAATTAAGCGAGGACTCCCTTAAGCTGGGTTTAGACAGGGCAAGTCAGTTGAATTCAACTGACTTGAACGCGAATTCAACGTGTAAACCATGCCATTCAACTGACTTGATCAACTCACTTGAATTGAAAAAAAAGTTGAAACAGGCTTAACTTTTCAAGCCAATTGAATTCAACTGAGTTGCCTAGTCTAAGCCCAGCTTTAATATCGACGACGAACTTTTCAACGAAAGGGATCAAGAGGCTTAGATGGCTGAAAAAAACGCGAGAACAAACGTCGGAGTGCCCGGCAATGTCGAGTGAAGCCCGGTGACTCAGTTATAATCGAACGTCACACACGCGGGAAGGGCGAAACACGCTTTTCATCACAAAAGTACGTCGCTATCGAGGAACACAACGGCAGCCTTACACTCAACGACGAAAATGGACACGTAGTGAAGCGCCATATCTCACAGACAAAAAAAGTTTCCGAATGGTGGAATTTAGAAGCACCAGAAGCGGACGAAAATCCTCAAGAAAAGCATTCAAACCAGCCGGGAACATCATCACGGAATGTTCGAGAAAGGAAAGCACCAGCGTATTTGGATGATTTCGTTCAAGCAGTTGACACTGAACAGCATTCCGCAAACACCTAAAACAAATAATTAGTGTTATTCAACATGATAAAATTTGAACTAAACTATAACAGATTTATGTAAGCCACAGGTTTCTCTATATATATATTTACATACGAAAAACTAAAATAAAGATTTGCTGCACTGAAGAATACGCAGAGTCTCTATTTTTTCCACCGAATGGTAAATAACAGCTAACGAAAGAGAAACAACACTAGATCTAGTCAAGAGCTCAATGAACTTTCACGCAGAATCCTCCAGGAACAGTTTGTTCCTGTTCGTCAATCTCCATGCTTTTTATCCGCTGGAGCACTGCTCACCAATTCACAAATTCAATTTACCATTGTATGCAGGGCCAAAACCGGAGGGAGGACCCGGAATCAAAGATACTTACGCATGATCCATGAGAGCAAGAAGAATCTCTTCCAATGATAAAAATCTTCCAACCCGATACAGAACAAGACATCATACGAGGGGATGTCACAATGAGTGGGGAGAAGAGCCCACCTTCAATTCACGAAATGTTAATAACAGGAAGTTGGCAATTCCACTCTCTCCATTCAAATCGCTTAAATTGATGGTCCCATCCCTATCCAATAAATTTATATGTTTATATGAAGATATGTAGAATATAAGGGTATTATCGAAGACAACAAATCAAGAAGACTGGCAACTC